AAATTAAACTGTTAGTAATGTCCAATTAATCTTCTTGGGCTTCTTCTGTGTGTTGCCAAACTTATTTTCTTAGTCCTGTTACATGTATTCTCTGTTAGTATGTTAGTAATGTTCCTTTGAGATTCTGTTAATAAAAAGGGTCTCTTCTGTGCACATCCAGAACCGCTTCTTTGCGTGCTGGGTACTTTTACTATCGCTGACGTGGAGGAGCTTCCTCTGTTGTCTTCTCCTTCCGGCTTGTTAGATCCTCCTTCGGGTTGTTGTTAATACGCTCCGTTCATGTACTATAAATCCTCTTCCTTTCATGCCCCGGAGGTCCCCATTTTCGAGAATGGTATCAATTTCATTTTCGCTTTTATATTCGCTCCCAGACTCTCTATGGGTCCTCCTTGCAATTGTTGACTTATAAGCGCTTACAGGCACTTCTCGCTGTCACAATTCCAACTTATCTTTTTTGCAAAACTCCCGTCGGATTCACAGCCATAAACAGTCCAAACATTCAACAGCCGGCTCTTGCACACAAACAAACGCCCAGACGGAAGTCCCTCCCTCCTTCTCCGCTCGCTTTTGCCCAGCTCCGACATCTTTTCTTTTTTGTTTACTTTTAGAAAGTTCTTAAAATGTGCTCCAGAGAGACAAGTTTCTCGCTTTCAAATACATCAAAGGAAAACATCACTGTCCGCTCAATTCATCCCCCCCCCTTTTCTTTTTCGCTTGTATGGATGGAGGATTAACCTCTTCGCCTTTTTCGCTGAGAGGGGGGGGAAACCATTTTCAGTTCTTTTTCTCTGCATTTTGACAACTCACAGTTAAGCCGATCTTTTCTTTTTCTTTTCCATTTTTGCGGATGGTCGCTTTATCACTCGGTGATGTCTGGTGGCTCCGCTAAACCCCGTTCGGGGTCGCTCACGCAGCAAGGTCCATTGGGGCAGGGCATGGCGGGAGCCTCGCTCTCCGACCTCTCGGTCGAAAGAGCGACTCCCCCCTAGTGCGCCCTAAAGCGCCCCGGATCCGAGCTCCTCTCTTCTGAGGGGCTCGTTCGGGTCTCCGCTCGCGCGGATTCCCTCCTCCACCGCGGGCGGGCGAGGCGCCCTCGGGAGCGACCCGAGGAAGCGTCCGCCATGCGCGGGAGCCAGACCGGAAGCCTACCATGTCCCAATTTTGAGGAGAAATTCAGTTAACTTTACTAGAAATAAATGTGGATAAGATTGCTGTCACAATTCCTTACAGTGGGTGGGATAAAAAGGAAGTGAGGGAACACCTTTTTAATGATGTAACTGTATTACATCCCTGTGGATCAGAGCTGTATTACATCCCTGTGGATCAGAGCAAAAGGCCATCTAGTCCAACATCCTGTGTCCCACAGTGGCCAACCAGACGGACCTGGGAAGTCCACAAAGAGGTTATGAATACAATAACCCTCTAGATACTGGTAAAAAAAAATACACTGCCTCTGGCTGCAGAGGTTCTGTTTTATGTGTCTAAATCTCCTTCTGAAGCTATCCAAACTAGTGGCCATAACTACATCCTGAGGCTGTGAGTTTCATAAATTAAGTATTCATTGTGCATTACATGCATACATTAATTATTCAGCTACTTCTGAGTAAATATGTGCAAGATCAAGTTGCAAGTGTTCATTCTATTAAACGTTCTTAACGGTTTTTTATGTTATAGTCAATTTACTGAAATACCCTGCCTCAGAAACCAGTGCAAGACGGCCTATTAAATTAATACAGTTTACAGCAAGCAGAAAAGAGGCTTCAGCAATACATAATTGGTGTAGCCAGGATGTATAGAAATTATACAGATACATGACGTTGTTTTCATCTGTGATGTGTCAGAAGGCGTCATGGTCAGGCATATGTGTGTGCTGTCAAGTTGCTTCCCAATTTATGGTGACCCTATGAATTAATGACCTTCAAAACATCCTATGATTAACAGCCTTGCTCAGATCTTGCAAACTGAAGGAAGTGGCCTCCTTTATTGAGTCAATCCACCACCTGTTGGGTTGTCCCCTTTTCCTACTGTCTTCAGTTTTGTCTAGCATTATTGTCTTTTCCAGTGAATCTTGCCTTCTCATCATGTGACCAAGGTACGATAGTCTCAGTTCAGTCATTCTGGCTTCTTGGAAGAGTTCAGACTTGGTTTGACCTAGAACCCATTTGTCTTTTCGGTGGTCTGTAAAACTCTCCAATACCATGTTTCTGGCATATGGAGAGCCAAACTAGGAGTTTGAATTGTGAGGCGTTTTGGAGTGATTTGAAGCTTTGTGTCCTGGGTGGTTTGCCTTTCTAAATAGCATCCATGTGAATCCAAACTTGCATTAGGATTGAGGTGCAAGGGGGCAGGTTAGCCCGGGCCGGGCCAGGGCTCTTTTTGTAGCAGGAACACCTTTGCATATTAGGTGACACACCCCTAATGTAGCCAATCCTCCAAGAGCTTACAGTAACCCCTATAAGAAGAGCTCTGTAAGCTCTTGGAGGATTGGCTACATTAGGGGTGTGTCGCCTAATATGCAAAGGAGTTCCTGCTACAAAAAGAGCCCCATCTCCCTATCAGAGCTCTGTGTGTTTGGCCTAGTGAGGCAATCAGCAGCTCCCCTGGCCCTAAATGTGATCTCTCTTCCACACAAAGAGTCTCAATTGGAATGGGCACCCTATGTGCTAGAAGACTCATCCTAGGACCCACAAAACATGTCCCTGAAGTAATGTATTCCCAGAACAGATTGGTAGTGGTGGCCAAAGTATGGCATATCCATGGATAAGGTAAGAGTGGTGTGTTTGGATTGGATAGGAAGGGAAGGGAAGGGGAGAAGTGCTGCAATGTGCATCTGTTCTTTTAACTGTGGAGGTCAGGCTGAGCTGAGCTAGACAGACCAACATCCAGGAGGCTCAAGGCAAGGACAGGCAACCCAGACAAACCCAGACAAATCAAATCTAACTGATTATCAGGAAACTAAAGACTGAGGCAAGGTCAGTGTCAGGATTTGCAGCACCGTGGATAGCTCCCAGGGAGCAGAGAACTTGCTCTGGTGAATTCCAAAGCAGCTGCATGGCCAAGTCAGCCTTCCTGTCTATTCCTCTCTGAGATCTTAAAGGGGTGCCAGCCTCACCTGTTCTTTCCCCATAAATGTTTAAAGGTATGTTTTATGACGGGGTGGAAGCCTGTGAGGTCTGGATTGCAGGGTATGGTCATTTCTTGACAGGAAGGGGATGTCCAGCTCAGGGGGGTTCAGGCAGTCCACATGCCAGGCCCCAGGTACTAGGCTCTCATGCAGTATTTTATGTATTTTGTGTATATTTTTATCTAATTTTTCCTCCAAGGAGATCAGGGTAGTGTATATGGTCCTCCCTTCCTCTATTTTAGAGGGTGGGAGAACCCACATGAAGATGCCTTAATACTGAATCAGGGCATTGATCCATTGTCTAACCCAGGGTGGCCAAACTTGCTTAACATAACAGCCACACAAAATAAACATCAGATGTTTGAGAGCCACAAGACATGAACAAATATTACACACATGTTTTTATTGGAAAATATGCAAATTCGCTTTTTATTAACATTAAATTAGACTGTGTGAATGAGCCACATGCAGCTCCCGAGCTGGAGTTTGGCCACCCTGGTCTAACCCTATGTGGTGAGTCAGTCTGCAAACAGCAGTTAACTCTATAATGACTGAAATCTTGGTAGCGTAGATACTCCAGCACTAACCACTACACCACACTAGCTCTCCTGCACTGCATCTGTACCTGTCTCTTCTGTGCCACTTTCTTCTAGAGTCATTTGCTCAAAATCCATGTATATGAATTCAAATGGTCATAACCCTTCTTCCTGAAGGACAAAGAGATGAATATGGGTTCTTATTGAAAGGGGACCTTTTGTATGACTTTATTTCCCCTTAGCATTACAGTTCCAGGGAAATACATATTGGGTCACTTTTGAAGCCTTTAGCTGACTCAGTTGATTTATACAAGTGCATTTATTCAGCACATGAGACTGCTAATTGAATAGCAGTTAAAGTTAGCTGAAGTTAATGGGAGGCAGGTTGTTTTTAGTTTCTATTCTGTCAAGGAATGCTCTGGCTAATGGAGAGAGCAAGTGGATGGAGGAAGCAAGTAGGGAAAGACCAGTATGATCTTCAGCGGTTAATTCAGCAGTGAGCACATTATGGTACTGAGGGCACGTGGGCACAACAGACATTCCCTGGCAGCTGATAACATGATCTGGGCTCCCTATCTGAAGTGGTGGGGTGGGGGGGAGAGAACTGCAGTTGGACCCAGGATGATTGGTTATAAAGATGGCAATCCAAAGAAACAGCCCTTCCATTTATCTGCAAACTCTTCTGGTTATGTATTTGCTACTCTCAGAACATGGCTTAGATATTGTATGTGCATTTTTATCCATTTTCCATTTCTGCACTCCTTGCTAAAGAATGCCAGCTCTTTGACAAACCTAGGTTTTGAAAGCATATATGTGGATGAGCAAATGTTCTCAGTTTAATTTATTTTTATATTTGTCTATATTTTTGCCTATAGTTTCAGTTCTCGCCTTTTTGATGTTGACTATATAAATTAGGCCAGACACTTGTATGGATTTTTAATATGTAATTTATATGTACATTATATGTCATTTATGCTGTAGCATACATATAATTTGATTTACTGGTGTGCGTATGTTGAAAAATGCATACATTTTATGGTGGAAACTTGAAGCAAGGAAACAGAAAAGGGTGCAGAAATAAAAAAAAAACATGGATTCCATCTGCACTTAATGGAAGTGAAATTGAAATGGGGGATTTGGAAATGAAACAACAGGAATGAAAAATTTGACGTGATTCCTAAAACAGAACAAGTGATGCCAAGGGAAGCAGATGTAAGCATCTCTGTTTCAGTTGTGTCATATCTGCTGGACTGAGTTCTGTCTAAGCACTGTCTTCTCCATCCCTTTAAGCTTTTTGATGTGCAGTGTGAAAACAGTTGTCCCACTTTTTCTCTGCACAGGAGGAATTGTTTTGAATCCTTCCTTCTATGGTGTACCGGGCCACACACACACTATGATCCACGAAATAGGCCACAGCCTGGGGCTCTACCATGTCTTCCGAGGCATCTCTGAGATCCTCTCCTGCAGCGATCCCTGCATGGAAACGGAGCCTTCATTTGAGACAGGGGACCTCTGCCATGACACCAACCCGGCTCCAAAACACAAGCTCTGTGGCGACCCGTCTCCTGGCAACGACATGTGCGGCTTCCGCAGCTTTCAGAACACGCCGTATAACAACTTCATGAGCTACACAGGTACTCCACCCCATGTCTTTTCCAGCTGGGATAATTTCCAAATGAGCTGAAAGCAGTGGAAGGGGTCGTACAGAATGTGGGAGGCACAGAGCAAGTTAAGACTATAACTTATGCCTGAGCAATTACTCTTTCAAAATAACCCTATCGATGCAAGACTCCATTTTTAAACCCAGGTCTGCTCTAGTCACCAATAGTGGTATATGAGGGAAGTCCAGGTTTCAGAGAAAGGTGTGTATGGGTGAAGGGAATTTTCCCTCATCCACAACTTGGTGGTGGTAGAAAGTGCTGTCAAGTTGTAGCCAATTTATGGTGACCCCTTGGGGTTTTCAAGGCAAGAAATGTTCAGAGGTGATTTGCCATTGTCTGCCTCTGCGTAACAACCCTGGACTTCCTTGGTGCTTTCCCATCCACGTACTAACCAAGGCCAACCCTGCTTAGCTTCCGAGATCTAATGAGAGGGGGCTAGCCTGGGCCATCCAGGTCAAGGCATCTACAACTTACTCTCATACAATGGTTCCCTCTCCCAGGAGTTTTGTTTTCCTTGGCTGGGCTCTGGTACATGAACTGAGCGCAACTTGGATAAAAACATTTGAGAAAGAGGAGAGTAGTGGATGCAGGAAAGGTATATCTCCATCTACCTGCAAGTTTCCTTTTTTCAAAAACCTGGACTGCCCCATCCTTCACTTTATCTGTGATTTTATGCAGTGGGTCATTTGATATCACATCTAGTTTGATCTTGACTCGATAAACTATTAGGTGTTGAAGGATAGCGATTGTGGTTCAGTGCAGGGTTCGTTTCATTCTTTCCCCCCCCTCTCCTTTCTTCTAGCAATTGAGAAAACCCCAAGGCAAAACTTATTTAGGAGATTTAAGCCTGTAGAATATGAATTTTGTGAAGCCACTGGATTCATCTCAAAAGCTTGGGGGAGGGGATAACCAACATTGCATTTTCCCTAGACTGGATGTTCATTTTTTAGTGCCAGGAGAGCCTATCCCTCCCCTCCCATGCCATGTACAATGCATACATGTTTACAATCTGCTAATCAGCAACTCCTGGTAGCCCCCGGCCCCAGGGACTTCTGTCTTGCCTCGACTAGGCTTTTTTGGCCCTGGCCACTACCTGGTGGAATGAGCTCCCATATGAGATCAGGGCCCTGCGGGACCTTTTACAGTTCCACTGGGCCTGGAAGATGGAGCTCTTCTGCCAGGCTTTTAGTTGAGGTGACAGATGTCCCCCCTGTATTGGGTATCCCCTTCAGTGGGTCAGATCTGTGTTACCATTTGGGAACCTCAGTCTGAAATAGACCTCCTCTGTTGAGGCTTTGGTTAGAAACATAGGAATATTATTGTATTTTATCTGCTGTACTTTAATTGTTTTTAATTGTTTGTGTATTTTATTTGATGGAACCTGCCCTGAGCCTTCAATGCGGGGAGGGCGGGATACAAATGTGATAAAATAAAATAAGAAAGACTGTAATTTTCTTTCTTTTCCAGACGATGACTGCACCAATTCCTTCACACCCAATCAGGTGGCTAGAATGCACTGCTACTTGGACCTGGTGTACCAGAGCTGGCAACCTGTCAAGAAGCCTGCTCCCATAGCTATCTCACCACAGATTGTGGATCGGTCAGAGGCCTCGATCACCTTGGAGTGGTTTCCACCCATTGACCGGCACTTCTTTCAAAGGTGAACCAGAGTGACAATGTGCTTATGCTATTAGGCCTCAGAATGTGGTGTGATCTGTGGCTGGGGGGGGGGGATGTTGCCTTAAAAAAACAGCAACATTATGACACTTCTGTGCTGCTTTTTCTTTACTTCAAATCCAAGGCAGTCTGCATAATAATTTCTTATACCACCACTGTAGAACAGCCCCCAAGCTTTACAATCCCAATAACATAAAAGTCAGTGTTCTAAAATGAGCAAATCTCGATGCCACTCAAATGACTGATAAATTTAATGTAAAGGCCCTGTTAAACAAGACCCATTTTATATAGCTGGCAGAAAATAGGGAGAGAGGGTATAGCCTGGACCTCCACTGGTAGCCTTTTCTAGAGTTCCAGAGTTATCTCTGCAAAAGTCCTGGAACAGCCCACCAGAGTCCCCCCTTCCCTACAGGAAGGAATGAAGACAAGTTGGCAGGTACAATGAATGTGATTAGAATACCGGGGAAAGCAGTCCTTCAGATATGTGTGTTCCAAGCCTTGTAGGGCTTTAAACCTTAATTTGAGCTTGGAAACAAACAGCTGATAGATGCAAATGTTCTAAAACTGGTGTAACATGTTGACAACAATGGCTGCGATGACACAGGCAGTTTTGCCCTGACACAGTCACTCCTCCCCTCCGGATCAAATCAGCATGATCAGACGCACACATCTGGCACCCAACAGCCATCCGTACCCACCTCATGGAAGAATGACTCCTTGTTGGCTTAGAAAGCTATCGTGGAAATCCGGTTGTTTCCCGGGTGAGGCATCTGATTGGCCAGGCGCGCCACGGAAGCGCAGGAGGCATGTGAACAGCCCTCCCGTTTCCAGCATGGCAGTATGCCATTTTCAGCAACCCAACCAGTCAGAGGGGCACATCAGCCATGGCTCCATGCTGGTGGCGTGGTAGCGATGTGAACCGTCCCGTGACCCGATGCAGCCGGCGTTGCAGGACCGGTGTGAATGCTGTGAAGCGCACCTAGCTTCAGCAGCTTTTTTCTCCGCGGAATACTGCCGCAGCAACCTGCCTGTGTGGACACACCCAATGAGTAGTCACCAATGCTCACTCTAAGCTGTGGAGTCCTGTGAGCAAAAATTCAACTTTGTGAGCTACCAGCATTATAGTTGTGAGCAGACAGGTGATTTGGCTACTGCATAACTTAGTTTGCTGTGGACTGGAGCCATCCTTCCTGAGTTAAGACAAAAATGTGTGAGTGACTAACTCAGCTTAGAGGGAACACTGGTAGTCACACCAACTGCAGTTACCAGGCTCTCTTTAAAGATAGTCCCACGCACAATTTGTTGTAATAATCTCAAGGTTCCTGTAGCATGTACTAGATGGGCTGAATCCAAATATGGAGCCAATTTTATGTACCAGCTGGAAATGAAAGAAGGTACTCCTGGTAATAGTGCTGATCTCTTTCTTCATCAAGAGAGATGGCCCGGTAGTATTGTGCCAATGGCATTGTTATCCTATCCAGCTTTGGCTGCACAGCTCTTTCTAGACTACCAGCACACCCCATCTTATCTGGATTCAGTTTCAGCTTGTTCCTCTTTAGCTACTTGAGTGCACAATCCAGGCAATAGCCTAGGACAAAGAAAACAGCTGTTGGGTACTTAGTTAGAGCTCGGGTTATTCAGCATACAGGTGATAGCCTACCCCCAAGCTGCATACGCTGGACTTTTAAACATAAATATTAAATAGCACTGATGAGAGGATTAACCGCTGGGGCACTTTGCATGGAAGCTCCAAGGGATCAGTTCAGCATCTCCAACAGTCACATTCTGAGCATGAGACAGAAAAGACAAAAACACTGGAACACCACACCTTTCAAAGGGATCCCATTCTCGAAATGGTGCACAAGAATCAAATGGCCTGCTTGTCAAAAGCAGCTGATAAATGTAACAGAATCAATGAAGAGTGATTGCCTCTTTCCATCTGAAGAGGAAGATCATACACCGGTGCCACTAAAACAATCTCTGTCCCCAAACTGAGATTAAAATGGCTCAAAGGCAATGTGTCATGCAGGAAAACCTGGACTTTCTCTGCCTCCACCCACTCAGTTTCCCCACAAATGGTACATTAGATGCAAGCATATAACTACTATAAACCCCCATAGGGCTTTTTTAACTAAACGTCTAATTGCTGCCTTCTTGCTTACATCTTCTGCATTTATACCCGAGTTGGCCACTGTCAGAAAGAGGATGTGCAGCTAAATGGACCTTTGGATTTGATCCCACTGGGCTTGTCTTACTTGGGACCTTCTATATACACAAAGCGTATGTTCTGCCACCAAGCCATAGCCTAAAGGGTGAAAAATTAAATGGGTTTTGCTTGAGGTGCTATCAGTTAGTCAGGCTTTGAGCCTGATTGGAGGCTAGGCATAGTGTTCAGCCATTTCCTCTAGTGAATGCTTGTGCAAGCAGGCACAATATATTGCTTATCCCATTAAACACGATCACCTAGTAAGTCTTGGAGAAATAGTCAAGACAGCTCACATAAGCAAGAAGCCTAGTGTCTGAACTGGCCCTTTGTTTCCTCAAATTCACCACCACCGCCACCACCACCACCATCTTCTCTCCCTCTGTTTCGAAAGGGTAAATTGAGTTCTCGCAATATGCATTTAATTTATATTTCATAAAGTAGTTACTGTATGTTAAATAAATTCCATCTGCCTATTAAAAACATATTGATACAAGGTTAATTGTTATGTAACAAAATACCTCTCTCTGACATACTTCTTCGACCTCAATCAGTATGTTTTTAATAACCCATGGCTAGTTGGTACTTAAATGACACACAATGGCCAGCCTGTTCGATCTAGGATTTCATGCCAGAGTTATCATACCTTAAGTAAACACTAGACTTCTTTTACAAACCCCTCCATTGGGGTTTCTATAGTGTGGAGTCTGCATAACTTGTGGATATCTAAGGAAACATTGTCCAATAGTTATGTCATAGCTTTCTCTGTTTCTCAAGGCTAGGATAAATAAATCATAGAGTGATTGTCAGAGGGCAGAGGTGGGGAATGGCTCATAATTTATTTTGAATTAATAACTGATCTGTTGTCAGCTCCTGCTTGTAAACTTCCAGTCTAAGATCTATGTGCAGATTGTTTATAGTATATGTAACTGAGGTCCAAACTAGATATTACAAGCACACGTGGATTCTCTTCATGCATATCTTTGGCCCATATCATCCCAATAGTGTCTAGTAAAAGACAATATGTGGCATGGTGTTGATAGAGTTAGAATTTCCCTGCCTCTGCAAATGTCACCCAATGAAGTGGAATGGGCACGAGGAAACTCTCAGTTAGTGGTAATTAATCCACAGTTCTCAGAGATCCTCTTTCACAATTACCATCGGCCAAAAGGGCCACATTTACTTTACTTCTGTTTCTGGCATGAGGCCTACATTGCAGGGAAACTCATAGCTTGAATGTTTCTCCCACAGTGGCTGTTTTAAGGTGAGAACCATCTGCCCACTACAAGCTCCACCAGGCAAGGGCCTTACCCACTTTCCCAAAACAGGGCAGGTGCCACATTGGGGAACAATGGTCAGAAGAGTCACAGATGGCATGCCAAAGAGGCACTTGCATTCCTTAACCCCTTTGCATCACTGCTCCATGCGCAAGTGACATTAAGCCCCACATGCTGTTTTTATTGTTACTGTAAAATACAGGTTGGAACTGAGCATTAGAGATGCATATTGACAGCAGCCATATGCCCCTATAACTCTAGTTTGGCCCTAACACCAATTTTTACCATGCTTTCGTACAAGGCCTGTGGATTTCAGTGGAAGTTTGAGTCACATGACCATCATTGCAGAAATGGCACCAACTATGGCTGCCTCGTGACCTGCCTGAGAAGTACTCACTGTGTGACCTTACATTATGTGTTTCTTTGACCCTGCTCCATGTTCCCTATAGTTGCATTGGGGGTCATGGGCACTTGCAACACAATAGAGGTAAGTCAAGTGATGTGTTCTTCTAAATGATGTGGACTGGATGGATCTTCTGGTCATAGAGATCATTTTCAGCAGCATCAATGCACAAGAGCCTTTCTTTCTGAGAAAATATGCTTACTTAGGAGCCCATATTCCCTCCCTTTAGAATTAAGAAATAAGTGCACATCTATATATAAAAAAGAAAGTCCCCTCACCATAAAATCAATGCCCAGGCCAAACCCCTGGACCTAGAAACATGACATTCGGGGAGAGTGCTCCTACCATGACGTAGATGCTCACTATGAGGGGTTTTTTTTAGAAATTCAGCCCCTAAGTGGGTCAAAAGGGGTAAAATGTGTTCCCCCATTGATTCCTAGGTGGCTGCCAGGCTGCTGCCTCCTTGCACCCCCCACTCTCTGATTGGTCACCTACAGAGCTCAGTGTTCTGAGGTAAAAAAAAAACAGTTACAGGAGACTGCACAGAGCTAATGACAGTTGAGGAAATCAGGAATGGCCAACAACCAGCTTTGAAGTGCTGTAATGCTTCTGGATCAGCCTCTTTTATGGTTTCCAATACACTCCCCCACCTCCTACACCTAACAGGCAGTTCTCTGTCAGGTACAGCAGCAGTTGCAGGGTGCTTAAAGCCACGAGGGAGCCCGCCTCAGCAGTAATGAGCCTGCTTTGTGGGGACGGCAGGGTATAAATCTGATAATAAAATAATGCCTTAGTGATCTTGCCAGCCCCACCTCCACAGTGGCTTCTAATACTCTTCCCCCCTCTCCTTCCTACACTGGACAGGCAGCTGCCTGTCAGATGTAGGAGAGGAGGTGTGATGCTTACAGCCGCTGGGGAGGTTTGCTCAGCAGGATTGCCTTAGCCCTGCTGCTGGCCCAGCCCCCCCTAATGCCTTTAAACATAATCCCCCCCAACACCAGACAGGCGGGTGTCTGTCAGGTGTAGGACCAGGACCAGGTAACTTTAATCCATCAGGGACGCTGCCCCAGCAGGATCACCTTAGCGGTGCTGCTGGCCAA